AGTGTAGTTGTTTGGCAGACTGCTTAGACTGCTTTAAAAAAAAAAAATATATATATATACACACAAAAAAATAATATATATATATATATATATATATATATATATATATATAATTTATATTCTGTTTTGTTCATTAGAACATTTAAAAAGAGATTTTAATTTAATTTTTATCATAGAATATTTAAAAATCAGGAATAAAATAATACAAGCCTTGGAAATTTGATGGTGTTTCTTATTTCTCTCTTGTTCTTAAGCCCTGGTCCCTTTCTTAATCATCAGCAATTGACCTCACTTATTTTACAGAGAAAACAGAAGGATTAAAAAAAGAACTGCTCAGTCCCACCTCCCTCAAGCTGCATCTGTCCCCACGTTATTGCACTTTCCTCCTGTTACTCTGGGAAGCTGGGCTACCCCATGCAAACATGCCACCCCTTCCCTCTGCTCCAGCAGCTTGCTCCCGTGACCATCTGCTCTCTTCTGCATGACTGTTCCCATGAGTATGCAATCATGCTGTCACAGTGCTTTCTTAAAAAACCCTCTTGACCCCATGCTCCTTTCTCCTGGCTCATTTCTCTCCTTTATGGGGACTTTTCTATATGAGGGTGTTGCCACCCCCCTTTCTCCTGTTCTTTACTGAATCCACTCAAAACTTTTCACTACAACGGTAAAATCACTCTTGTCACAGTTTTATTTTTTGGTTTTTCTTTTTGGTATGGGGATCAAACTCAGGACCTCGTGCTTGCAAGGCAGTCATGGTGCCACTGAGCTAAATCCCCGGCTTTCGTCACAGTTTTCAGTAAGGTCTCCAATGTCAAAGTCAATGATGGTGCCATGTGTGGTTGAGAGTAGCTACAGCATTTTTGGTCAGCAAGGTCTCCACCAGGCCAGTTCTGGAAATGGCTGTGGGGCAGATTTCCTGTTTCAGAAGCTCTTTTTCACACCTGATTCTTTAACTCTCTCACCCTTTCACTACACCCTTTCAATAAATGCCATTTTGTTTTAGAGTAGCTAGAGTTGGTTTCTGATGCTTGTAGTAAAAGCCCCTGAATCAATTCATTGGGGGAGCTAGGCTGACTTGGTTCTACATACAGAGTCATTTCTAAAATACAGATTATTTGGAGATGTTCCTGGACCCCTCACCACCAGGGGGAGTGCTGTGGTTTGATTGGCCAGTGGTTAATTGATTTTTATCATCGCTTGAACCCATCGGCCTCTCTTGCAAGAGCTCCTGCCCCTTTGAGATGACTTTCTCCTTTACAGGGTTGCCATGATGCTCATTTCAGTTCTATTTGTCCATTCAGAAACGGAGCAAACAACTTAAAAAGTAAAATGGGTGAGTGATATGAACAAAAGAAGGAGTTACAGGAAAGGAACCATGATAACCACAAAATAAATGGTGAGGTTTGAAAAGTCACCGGTAATAGGGGCATGCAAAGGAAAAAGCATCACATTAACAAAACCTTCAGTCTGATACCACTGAGTTGAGGAGGCTGTACAGCAGTGGGACCTCTAATGCAGGTCTCTTGGAGATAAAACAGACTATATATAGAAACAATGATGGGCAGACCTTTGGCCACAACTATGTAGAAACCCAATGGAACCTGCTCAAGATGATGTATGCAAATGTGTGTAGCATAAGTATTTTTAATAAGGAAAAATTAAAAACTATCTATCATTAAGAAATTGGATAAATAAATGCCATATGCATATGAAAGAATATTATACAGCAGCAAAAATAAATGAACTGCAGCTACATATTCAACATGAATAAGTTTCACAGACTGTGTGGAACAAAAAAAGCAGGTTACAGTACCTAACAAAAGTGAAAAATCAAGGAAACAAAGAAATATTGTATTTAGTGATACATGTACATGAAGCAAAGAATAAAGAGATACATGAAATGATAAACACTAAATTACAAATAATAGCTATTTCTGGGAACAGGGGTGTGAAGGTAAAAGATGAGAATGTAATAGGAACGAGCACAAAGTTTCACTATTTGTGATGTCTTATTTACTAAGCTGGGTTGTGAGTACATTTTCTCACATATCTAAAATACTTCATAGCAAAGAAATGAATGAAACCAAGGAACAGAGAGGTTGGCCAGAAAAGTTTTCCCAGGTTACTCAGGAGGTAGTGATGGTCTTGTGGGTACTGTTTTTCCTAGAGGTGGCCTCAAGGTCAATCTGGGCCAAGATTTCTACCAACACCTCCCAATTTCCTGGCTCATGAAATAATGAGCCCATTGATAGTGAATATCTGCCTTTTGCAGCTTATATTCCATGAGTAGCTAGAAGGAAATATGAGCAGATAACAATCAGTTTGGGTCATTTCATCTCCTCTCCTTTTTTTTTTTTTTGTCTCCTTCCTGTTACAGATTAGGTTTATTTAAGAAAAAAAAAGCGTGTATAGGAAGAAAAGGGCTAAAGGTATAGGGAAAGTGGGAAGGGTAGGGGAAAGGGAATAAGGGAAAAGAAAAAAATGTGAGACAATGAAAATAATGGAAATAAAGTGTTTGTAAATGGGGAGGGGAGGAGGGGGTGAAGGGAGTGCAGGGACAATTGAAAAATGAGAACCAAGACCTGTCATGTAAAGGTACAAGATCCCAATGATGAATGTAACTGTACTGTATACCTAAAATGTACCAATAAACTCAATAAAAAGAAAAAAAAAACATGTAACTGGTTTTTGGCCATGCTTTCTTCTCAGAATTCTTGGCTTTGTGTTTTTTCACTAGGCTTCACCAGCAGCAGTAGGAAAGAAATCACAAAAGACGTGAATAAAAAGGGGGATGTCGCTGTTGCGGGCTTAGTGGCAAAAAAAAAGGGGAAATTAGTTCTATATTCCCTCAATACCAGAGCAATCATTCTCACTCCATGAGGAATGTGTACCCAGATGGTGTGCAGCTATAATACAAGGATAACACAGAACCAGGAAGTAGAAGAGACACAGGTTGTAAATCATCAGTATTTATCAAGATCTTTTCAAAGCCCATGTGCCCTTCAACACAGCAATTGCACTTTTAGGACACTAAACAAATGTTTTTTGAGGATTTTTGTTTGTTTGTTTGTGCCAGGGATCGAACTCAGGACCTTGTGCTTGTGAGGCAGGTGGCAGCATCACTGAGCTAAATCCCTGGCTCAGGACACTAAGCAAATGTAATCATCAAATATTATTGAATATTTATTTGCTCCAAATTACAAAGCAAGCATAAAGCTCTCAAACCAGGGTACAGTTAATAAAATAAAGGAAATATGAATAATGTATTATTATAAGACCACTGAACATAATGTGTATGAGTTTTACACAATATGTAGAAATACTCATATTAGCATATTTTTTCAATACTGGGCATGGAACAAGGAGGACTCTACCATGGAACCAAATTCCTGGCCTTTTTAAAAAAATAATTTTTTTTTTAACTTTGAGATAGGGGCTTATAAGGTTTCCCAGGATTGAACTTGCAATCATCCTAGGACATAATGGGACTTTAATTGGACGAAGAAACATATGAAAATTATCAGCCTTCTTTTACAATTTCTCTACTATCTATCAACCTACAGATAGACGCATAGAAGAAAAGCAAAATGAAATATACAGGAATATTAGCAGTATCCAACCACGTAAGGGGATTATAGCAGTAAAAAATACATACTTCAAAATTGTTACGAAGTTTTATACAGTGAATATGTATTTGGTCAACAATTTCAAAATTCAGGGGGGAAAGTTATTAAAAGACAAATACATTAAACCACCAAGCAGCATCTCAAGAGATTTTCCACGCCAACACATTCAGTGGGGCTTTGATGCCCACAGAGCATAATGTTTCAGAATCTGTGTTTGGGGTCAGGGAGTCATCCTATATGAGACTTGAGGAGATTCGGGGCTCCTGTAGCAGTCAGTGGTCACTAGAGAAATAGGCTTAATATAAAATATATAAATATATACAGATTTACATGGTATGCTTGCAATGGCTGCTGGCAGAGTCAGGTGCAGAAGAGTGCAAAAGGGCTGTCTGCACACCAGAGAGCCAAAGGATCCAGTCAAAGGTCAAAGGCCTGGAGCTCACCTTAGAATCCTGTACAGGGCTATTTCAGGAGGCTACAGGGTCTGCCATGGAAAACTGAAAAGTTTATACCAGAAGCCCAGAGACTCTGTTAAAGGCAAAGCAAGGACTGGAGCTCCTATGAAAAAACAGAAATAAGACTTCTCACTTGTAGAAGGAATGAAAACAGGGCAGAATATTAAGAGTGTACACATTAACTTCGGGGTTTCTTGTGTAAACCTAGGCATCCCTACAAGCTTGCTCTTTTCCTCTCCAAAGGATTAGGATTAGGGGACAGAATTAGTCTTGTGATTAGAATTGAAGCCTGACATACATGACAGTTTACCTGCTGTGTTTGGATGGAGAGCCTAAAGATGCAAGACTCACCTGGGTGAGTGGTACCAGTTGAATTTTGCACCACTCCCAATTTCACTGTTGAAGTTCTAATTCCCCCAACACCTCAGAATGTGACTTTATATGGAGATAGGGTTGTTATCGATATAATTAGTTAAGATGAAGTCATACTGGAGTAGGATGGACCCCAATCCAGTATGATTTGGATCCTCATATGAAGAGGAAATTTGAACATAGACAAGCCCCAAGGGGTACATATGAAGACTGGACTCACGTTATCATAAACCAAGGAAACAGTTCTTTCCTAGCAACCTTTAGAGGGAGCATGATTTTGTTGATGTCTGGATTCCAGACTTCTGACCTCCTGAGCTATGAGAAAATATATCCAGGTGTGTCCTACCTGCAGGCCACAGCTGGTTGCCACCTTTTAAAAAATATTAAAATAAAAAATATTTTAACAGTTCATGTTGGCTTTGAACTCATTATGTAGCCCAGGCTGTGCAGGAACTCAGCCTCCTGAGTGCTGAAAATATGACTCTTAAAGGGATGCAAACATTCAGTTTGTAGCTAGAGGATCCCTCGTCCTTTCATTGTGGAGCCTATGAAGCCATTTGATGAAGAAGATGGCTTTCCAGAGAAGCTAATGCAGAAAACTCAGCAATATCATAAGGAAAGAGGACAGCCACCACACTTTGCTCAACCTGGGACATTTGAATTTGAGTATGCATCTCGGTGGAATGCTCTTGATAAAATGGAAAAGCAGCAGTGTGGGCAGGTTGATAGAAACATCAGAGAAGCCAAAGAGAAACTGGAGGCAGAAATGGAAGCAGCTAGGCATGAACACCAGGTAATGCTAATGAGGCAAGATCTGATGAGACATCAGGAAGAATTCAGATTCTTGGAAGAACTCAGAAACCAAGAGCTGCAAAAATGGAAGCAAAGCCAACTTAGACATGAAGAAGAATATCATTGTCATGAGGAAGACATGATCAGATACAGAGAACAGAAGGAACTGAGAGGGAAGCAAGAAGGCTTTAAACCAAACTATTTGGAAAATTGTTTTCAGAGGGCTCACTGAGCAGACCACCTTATAGCCTAGATCCACATTTCCTGAGGAATCCAAATTAGTGTCCTGAAGGCTCATTGATAGTTTTGGTTCTAGAGCACAGCAAAAGTTATGGAAGAACTGGTAAAGTGTTACTCTCCCACATTGCTTCCTTGAAGTTTCTGAGTCACTTTAGCTTTGTCAATAGAGCTATAAAACTTTATTGTTTCAAACGTTACCTGCCCTTGATCGGTAGTGTTAAATTTGGTCTTTTATTTAACCAACCATTTCTTTATTTCAGTCTCTTTCCTGCTTCCTGTATGGGCACTGTTTCCCTTATGCCTTGAATTTAATTGTAACTTCTTCTGATGTGACATATATAAAACTCAAAATAAAAACTCTAGCCAATAATAAAATTTCATTAATTAATGCAGAAACAAATATTTTTAATAAAGGAAGTTTTGTCACTTCTATATATTAACTATACTACATATATTACATGGGCCCAAAACAAGTCCTCTTCTGTCACTGTGGCCCAGGCAGTGACTGGTGACATACATAAATCTCCCTGTCTGTGGTACCTTGAATGACAGTCATGGGAAACTAAAAAGGCCTGATCTGGTGAGAGGGTGGCTCCTCAAGCCTCACACACTTGGACAATGCAGAACCAGCACCCTGGCTGCCTCCAACCCCCTAGTATTGGCCTCTGATTCCCCTTTCCAGAACAGAGCTAACCCCTTCTCCCCATCAAGAAAAGGGTTAATCTGGAGTCTCGCATCACACGAGGAGCCTGGTGTTAGGCACAGTTTATTTAAACTGTCTGGTCCATTTGTATGGCTCACAACACACTGTCATACAAGAGACTCATAAAATTGAATATAAAAGGAAGGTAATATCATTTCTAATCTCTGTAATGTAATGTAATATAATATAATGTAATGGAGAAATTAATCATTTATTACAGCAGACAATTGAAAACCACTCAAGAGTTTTCTTTATCCTAAAACTTGGCAGTGGGAAGCTTGCTTCTCTAGTTTGCTGAAATCTTTGCATCTTTTACATCTTTGGCATAAGATATTTTTTAAAAAAGCTATTTGTGTTTCAAGCTTCTTCTTCCTCTTCTCCTCATTGTCCTTCTTATTCCCCTGCTCCTGCTCCTTCTCCTTCTTCTTTTCCTCCTCCACCTCCTCCTTAAAAAAACTTTTTCAATGAAGAAGGTCCTCAGAAGCCAACTGAATGCAGGGAATACAGGTAAGGTTGCATTTCTTAGATGTCAGCATTCTGCACTTTTCTTAGAGTGTACAAAGAGACTAGATTACCTGTTAGCTACCTAGAAGAGAAGGCTTAAGTTCTAATTAAATACTCTTTCATCTCTGCTGAGGACCCCTTCGTGTTCTGTAAAGGGAATTGAAATTTCACAATGACCCATGGAATAGATTTTTGCTGAATTTGCAGTGAAGTAGGGCAGAAGAAAGGTGTGTGGTTTGGCCGTCCAGGTTGGCTGGCCTCCGGATCTAGGATCTTCCCTCACCATTCTGCCTGAGAAATCACACTGTAGTTGCTCAACACAAGTGCCCATGCCTTCTAGTGCTCAAATATTGAAGTAGTACTACTTTCGGAAAATGTTTATTGCAGAATTAGCATATTTATTAAGAAATCTTTAAGAATGTCCTTGTCTTTGTTTCAACAAAAACTTCTTAGTGCTGGTAAACCCACACTGTCCCCAGTCTCCACACTATAGGAGCACAGCCAGGGCGACATTACAGGATGTGGCCACTGACTGCTGAGATTGATGTCATTTATACTCTTTAGAAGGTGCCTGCTGCCGTGCAGTGTGTGTCACCAAGCTCACCAAAGGCAAACTGTCATCTTCACTGAGCAAACTCACACCACCAAAAAAGTCAACAATAATAGGATAAGGATTTGTTGAAAATGCTAAAATGCAAGGGGTCTCTAGCTCTAATGGATTCTGTAGGCAAATGATAAAACACGCTAATGGTTTCGAAGAGTTTTTGGTTTAAGGATAAATATTGGTTCTAAGAGCCCATCTTTTCAGTTTTGAAGCCCAAGAGAGCTTCCAATAAAAAACCCTGACCCGAGGTGCACCACCTTAGGAGGCAGTGCTTTGGGGTTTTCAGCAGCTACCTCCTGCCACTTTTCTTGATAAGGGTGTGAAGATTGAATGGAAGGTTCTAGAAGAAATGCTCAGCCAATGCTGGGGCTGCTTTGCTCATGTCCACTTGAAGATTGCAGTGAGGATGGACAGTACAGAGATGTCCTCTCGCAATGAGCTCCTGAGCCTCACCCCACTGTCTTCCCTGCCCTCCCCACCAGGACACCTGTGATCTGGAAGACACAGGCCTTCCCTCTTCATTCCCTCCATCATTTATTGCACTTCCCAAGCAGGATTTATTTCCCAGTCCCAAACAATGAAAAACAGAGCTATAGTCAATTCTGACAGGTGTCTTCTTCCCCTAGATCCACATATTTCATAAAGAAGCATGCCTCAGTCTTTAAACCTATTCATTTTCTAAGTTTTAGAAAGTGATAGCAAGGATAGCAAGGGGTATTCTTTTCCTCAAACAGCTCCATTGGGGAAAATTTTTTTTTAACAAATGACTCAGTTTGTGAGTGATAGGGAATAGGGCCTCTCAGACAAGGAGGAATGGATGCTTCCAGAAGAACTAACAAACTAACAGCCCAACACAGCATTAGGCATCTACCTGAGTATTTATTTTTAACTTTTTAAAACATTAGTTGGAGGCAGAGACCTTTTCAGGAATGGGTTTCACTGTATTTTTTAAATGCTTTATTGTTTTGAATATTTAAAATAACATATATAATTAATCCTTAAAAATACAAAATTTCCATACCCTAAGAAATCAGCCATTTCATTTGCCATATTTCCTACTATCTTTGTTTTAAATGCATGGAAACTTTATACGTAATTGGATATTTTATACATAACTGTACAACATAGTTACAATTTTATTATTATTACTTTACCTTAAAATATTTGTGTTTCTGCATAAATTTCATACTTATCACTGATTTATTACATTAAATCTAGCAAATAAACTACCATTTACCTACCACCATTTTCTATTACTAATATTTTCATTAATGATTTTAATGTGTGTTTTGGTTTTTCCTCTTTTTGGAATACTGTCTTAGGAAAATTTTTAGGATAAGGACTATTGGTCTAAAGGGTATTTTTATTTTATTTGTTTTTAGTGAATTTAAATGTATTTTGTTTGGAGAGTTTCACAATAGCATTGGAGGTCATGGGGAGCAGGAAGGTGTTGCAAAACCGAGGCTGGTGATCCCACTGCCTAGCATTGAGGCTGCTAAAACCACAGCATTGGCCTTTAAGCGCCTAGAAGCAGACCAAAAAGAAGTGTAAAAATGCCACCACGGCATACAAATGACTAGACTAGAAAAATGATCTTTTATGTACATTGATTTTTTTTTCTGTGACTGTATAGCATGTTGCAAAAATGGAGTTCCCAATTTTCATTTATCTGTGACTCATCAGAAAATCTTTTGAACTACCGTCAAGGTTAGCAGTGAGCCTTATAATCACAAGAATTCAATAAAAGTTTTTGAATCGAATTGAAGGAACTGAATTTTTATGACTTCATCTTATCTTTCTAATAGATATGTTACATGAACAAGAAATAAACCATTGTTGTCATAAATAGAGATTGGAAGTTGTTTCTTACAGGAGCATAACTTAGGCTCTCCATTCTGTTGTACCAGTTGTCAAAGGCTTTCTCCAAAAAAATGGCTAAGTGCTCAAAGGTTTTATAGCAGCACTATTTATAACTGTGAAGAAAAAGGACTACTCTAAGGATTAAGTAAATAATGCAATTCTATTCAATTTGTCATGTAATCATTAAAATTAATGTTTATGAAGACCTTGGAATTATATGAACATTCATATGAAGATTAATTTTAAAATGAAAACAATTCTATGTATACACAAATGTATTTTAAAAAGCTATGCATTTGGGAAAAAAGCTAGGCATACAGAAAAAGAATGAAAATGATGCAAGAAAATAACAAGGATGATTGCTTACAATTTGAGAACAGAGACAATTTTTCTCCTTCTTTCTACTTTTTAAAAAGATAGAAGGGTATGGAGGAAGCATAGCAGCCAGGTAGAAAGGAAGGGAGAAGCTGGAAAGGGAAATATACTCTGCAAAGCCATGCCCTAGTGACACACTTCTTCCAACCAGGCCCACCTCCTAATAGCAAATATCCCCATGAACTCACCAGTAATCAGTCTGTTGATGATTATATTGCCCCATGATCTGATCATCCCCCAAAGCTCAGTACTAAACACGTGAATCTTTTGGGCAGACATTCTAGATCAAAACCCTAACACATGCTGATCAGAATACTGCTGGATATTAGCCAATGTTCTCATAAAGCTGCTGAACATGGACTTGTATAGTATGTCACAGGTACACATTTACCAGAACCCATATTTCATAGAAACATTCAGCTTGATTCTTTGAATTCAGAATGAAAAGCCAGAAGGATATAGTCCCACTGGGGCAGGAAACAGGGTGGTAGGGCTTTTCTTTCATGCCTCAGAACTGTCTTATTGTCTCTCAAGCCAGCAAGAAAAATAGTTCTGATTAAATATTTTTTCCTTAAAAAAGCATAGAACACTTAGAAATTAAAAACTAAAAAAGAATGGAACACTTGGTCTGGTTTTCAATAATCTTTATTGCTTTACTCATTATAAAAATAATATATGCCTTTGGCAGAAAATATGAGTAATGCATAAAATTAAGAAGAGTATAAAGCTCATCTGTAATCCTGGCACACAAAGCTAACCTCTGTTACTGCTCTGGTGAACCTTTAGGCAATCACTCTTCCAGAGTAGGTGTTGACACCTCTTCTGGTACTGGGCCAGATGGTACATATGCTGGGTTTTTCAGGCCATCTCCCTTTCTCTCTATTGTAATGACTCAACTTTGGCATTGTAGAATGAGAGGAGTCATAAACAACAGCTAAATTAGTGA